CATTATGACCTACTTTGTTAAGGTTTGTTAAAAATAAATATTGGAAACAAGCATTTATTACTAAGAAATTCCAACCACAGCCAGGACTCTCAATATGCAAAATATGGGAATATTTTGCATATTGTTAAGATAATACCCGATAAAGTCACAACTGCAATACATTTCTCATGGGTTTTATTCAAACCACTAGGGAGAATATACAAACTTGATTTTTTTAACTACCGAGTGAAAGTAGAAGAGCAGGTGCAGGTAATTTTGCCACTTTATAGCTTCATTTTCTTTGGTTGATTGGATGTTTCGAACTGAAAGCATCTAGATCCATCCAACAGGTATAACACACGCTGTTATACCATGGCTACCATGGCTATTCATACAGCCAAGAAACACAATATTTAAAGCGCATTAAAAAAATAGTCAGAATATGTAATTTAAATGATAAAGTATAGAAAAATTTAGATATAAACTAAATCAAATCAATATTGAATCAGTTGTGAGGTTACTATTGGTTATGGTTTTAGCTTAAAATTGATTACAATCATGCAGGGCATGAATGCATCATAAATAAATTACATTTATCTACAAAACTTTGCTTCCAAACATTTGCTATATTATTGTACATACTGATGTTGCAATGGCTGCAAAAAAAAAAAAAAAAAGGGAGTCTGTTTCAGTTTATTACCATTAAATGGTAAAAACAAAAACATGCAATAGGGCAAGCAAAATTAAAGCAAACTAAATTGTGCAGTTTAGGTGCTTATAAACAATGCAGATCATCTCATCTTGAACTCATTCAAGCAACACAAAAGCCCTGTAGATAACTCTTTTGATTTTAGTCACTCCCAGGAAAGATCCTCAGGGGAAAAAGTACTAGGTCAGAGACCAAAGCAGTTCCAAAAAAATAAATAATATATAAAAAAACAGAAAAGAACACCTTATAAAACAAAAACAATAAAAACTCTCTCATTGATGACCAAGTGTAAAGGGGATGCTTAAGGCGTAACATAGAAACTCTGACACAGTAGCATGTCGTCTGCATTTTTCTATGCGGGCAGAAAAGCTTGGAGAACACGATACAATTTGCCAAGACTCAATAACCAGGTCAGACATATTCAGGTCAGATCATGCATCTATGCAGTCATAGCAACGATCTTCTAGCTTTTGTCCTGAAGAAAACTGCAATGAGTAAGATTTCTCTAAATCGTCTTGTCATCAAATCTGCTCATAAATACTGTTTGAAAACAGCCTGAAAATGCTGCAGCTCTGAAATCAATGTACCAATACATGCAAGACTACTCTCTAAAGCTGCATAAAAGTTAACATTTTTATGCTTAATATAATTTTTCATCACAAAATATAAATACAATTTTTTCAGTAGATAGACGAGTTTTACTTTCATTGATGTCTGTATCTGAGACATATCGTATATTATTTAAAAAAAAAATAAAATAAAAAGACATACAAACAACATGTACATAAAGAGAGGAGGAGGAAAGGAAACATATGGACATCTGGTTGTAAACAAAAAAAAAAGAAATCCTCAGATCAGGGTATTGCATGTTCAAAAAGGAGCAGCAAGAAGTTAATACTTTATAACCCCCCTACCCTTCTATACTCTTAATCGTTACATGTCATATACTGTATTCATGTTCTATACGTAAAGCAGTTTAGTTAAATGCATGCATTTACATATTCACATAAAAATATACCATTTTATGCATAAGTAGCCATGTAGATCTATAGATTATTAGTGTTAAAGGTATAGTGGAGGATGTTCTTTTTCCAGGTGGATCATCAAAATAAGTTGTCCTCCTAATTATTAATCATTCTGCTGATACATTTACGTATTGCAAACCTTCCTTTGGAAACTAAGCTTGTATGAGGGATGCAAACGGCAACTTTTGAACAGAGCATGCACGAGGAGAAATGGGCTGGTCCATGCTCTCACCCGCATTTAATAGTTGTTCCCTCTCGGGAGCGGGTAAAGAGCTGTGCATGTGCATTTTTTATTTCTTTTTTTTTTTAAGTTGAGAGGACTGGTCTTTTCAAAAATTCTCAAAATCCTTCACTACACCTTTAACTTGGTTTTGAATAACTTAAAGGCATTATAGTAAAAGTACCATAATTATTAACCTCACATCATTTTTTTGCCATTTCCACTGTCTGTGTCTTCCCTGATATTCCCATTAGATTAGCATTTTTTTTCTCCATCTCTGGATTGCATACAACACCACCAGTACAAGCTAACCTGAAAGAACAACTGCAACTTGTCCAACAGCAACAGATTCATGCTAAGTTTTAACCTGTAGTTCCTGTGTCTTACAGTTACATGTAAGGTCTTCTGACAAAGTTACACCTAATCAGTATGGAAATATCCCGAATTTACTTGATCTTCAATTTACTGCAATGGACCTTCTCCCAGTGTTGCAGCGTGGTCTCCATCAAGAACAGGGCACCCTGCTGCTGATCCTTAAGTGAAGTCAGACCATGTCAGCTCTCATTGTGGTTACTTTTTTAAAGTTACAAAGGTAACCATTTGTTTAGAAACATAGCTATCATTTTTGTTTATTTAGTCAGAATTTATTACTTAGAAAAATAACATTACAATATCCCTTTTCTTTAAATTTAGCGAATTATGAAAAAAAATAGTTCTACATTTTATGGGAAGACCTTAATACAAGAGAAAGTGTAGGTTTTTAATAAAATGTTCACTCAACTGGTAATTTGCATCCCTACAGCTGTCCTGTTACTAAACACCTCTTTGTGCTTGATCAACTGCGAAATATAGATTCTTAGTCAGGTTTTTTTCACTCTTCCTCAACTTAAATGTGCTTCCCTTACTTAATAGCCCCCCTTCTTGCCTTCCGTATGCTGGGCCTCGGCATACATTGACACTGCAAGTGAACCACTCCAGGGTTTGGATAAAGCCTGCCAGGACTAGCAGATATAACAGTGTCAGAGTTTGGTTCTCTCGTCTGTTTCATGGTCCAGGATGGATTCACTTTGGAAATCTGCTCCAGATAAGAGCGGCCCAAAGTCTTGGTGTGAAAACACTTTAAATTGTGTATCAGAAGAAAAGCTGGAGGAACTTATTACTGGTGATTAGGACCAGAAGTATGAAACTGGAGCTCCAGTGAAAAACACTGGTTGATTTATTAAGGAAAAATGTTTTGTGACACAGCAGTTCAGCCATACAAGGCTAGAGTCTCACACAACAGAAAGTAAAAATAAAAAACAAAAGCAGTCTACCCTACTGTTTAAAGGACAGCTTGCATCAGTCTTGAGCAGCACGCGAACATTAACCATCATCAGAGAGCTATGTGTCACCTTTTCTGTCTTAAGTCATCTGGCACCTGTATTAGTGAAATGATGACGTCTGCTTTGACTACTGAATGTCTGCTGTTGAAAACCTGCGCATAATGACATATGCACCAACAAAGAGCAAGGGGATTACAAAGGAGAAGTTGTCAAACAAGTGAAAAGGTTACACTTGAGTCAAACGGAAATGCCTCAGCTCTGAAAGATAAAGTTTCCAACAACAAAGTAACGCAAAGGTACAATATACCTCCTGTAATCTGACCTTCCTGTTAATAGAAATTACTAAGAAGATCTACAAGACAGAGTGCCTGAATATGAAGACAAAACCATTTTGTCTTTCAGATTTAGGTACTAAATTAGACTAAAACCTGCACTGAGAAACTGATACGCCTGATTTCAACTTTGACTGCTATGTCTCCTCAGACTGCTTTAGACACACCTCTGGTCTAGATGCCTTCATAAAGCAACAATAAAAGAAAACCACTTGACAGTACATGGGGGTTAAATTGGTAATATTGCCAGAGTAGGAAAGCTCCTTAAATGTTTAATGTTATCTGCAATAAATCCCATTCCATTTGTAGAATAGGAAATTGGGCTACAAAATATCTGCTTGGCAACTCTCGAGCAGAAATTGCCAAATTGCAATGCCTAACAGAAAACTACCGACACATTTCCAGCAGGATCATAAAGTGCGAGTTTATGATCATTCACAATAATCCAGACTTTCTATTATTCATTTTCCACAGCAGGTTTTACACATACACCATGGGGTGGGTTCAATCATTTATGAGATCTTGTTGTTGTGACACAGCATGAGAACACACCTCCATGTGTTTATTACATTACCAATAACTTATTACAAGGAGTACTTTATAAGAGACAAGTACGGATTTACTTAAGTAGAATCAAAGGATTGTGGCAAAACAATTAGACCTGGAAAACAAAAAGTGTTACTAAACCAGCACATGCAAACAATATCTGATATCGATACATAACTGAAGTTTCAGTAGTTTAAGCTGTACAGTTTGTGATGAACTTTGAAACAAGGCCATAAAGCAAGTGTGTCATACTACAACATGTAATGAAATACAGTCATCAGTGACTAAAATTGTGACAAAAATGGACAGACCGTCAGCGGCTTTCATGCGACACCATAAAAAACCCTTATTGCACAACGTTTTGAGAACAAATAGTCATGAACATTTTATTTTGGGCTATAAAAAACCCTGCCTACATGCCTTTGTGGCAAAAAAAATAAAAATTTGCAGAAAATAGTAATGTCATCAAAGTATAAAGTCATATCAATGCTATTGAGAAGGTTGAATTTTCTTGGTTCCAAATCGTTCTCAAAAAAATGTTGAATTAAAAACAGTTATTTTTAGCTGAATAGTTTCCAACCTTGTTTTTGACTATTAAGAAGAACCAAGCATCAGCATTGCATGTTAAATACTTTATAAATATGTTTGAATCCAGTTGTAAAATCATACATCAATTAATGCATAAATGGGGTTTGAAAATATCTCTTTTCTGATCTTTACAAGATAATATGCTAGTTGGTCCGCTTTCCTGAATAGGGATGTCTTTTTTTTTTTACTTATATTTAACTAAAATAGCACAGATGAACTATAAATACATCTTTTATAAGAAAATTAAATAAAAGCAGTGAGTAGTTTGCCTTTCATTACCTTGTCATTTATGATTCAAGGACCTGGATGCCAGTGGATGGCCGACGACAGATCCACCAACACTTTGATTATCTGACAAAGAAAAAGTAAAATAAACATTTAAAATACATTAGAAACCCAGTATAAATAAAGAAACAATGCTAAATTTAATAATTTACACTTTGCTATTCATATCAGAGACAAATAAATCTTGCACCATTATTGACATTGTAAAATAAAAATCATAAAGCTGCTTTGGAACTCAGACTGTAAACTTTTACATTTGCTGTTCTTTTAAATCCATAAAATCAGAATTTATTGGACAATCAGTACTCTGTGAAGCTTTTCAGGATGGAAAATTTGAATACCTGTGTTAGGAGGCTTTTAATGGATTTTAGCTGAGCCTTCAAACCCGTCCGTGATAAGCTGCCCCTTAAGCTCCACCGCATCATTCTGATCCTGGATCAGTGAACTCCTCACCGACAGGGGAAACTAACATCTGCCCCACTGATACTCCACACTGGCATCCCACAGCGATGTGTTCTCAGACCTATCCTCTTTCACCCATGATCTGAGATGACCCATTACAGAGAAGAGGTTTACAATCTAACACAGCTGTGTTTTAGACATAACCTTATGCTGAACTACAGCAAAATTATTGAAGGTCATAGTAGACAACAGAGGGGCCAGGAAGACTGAACACACTTCTCAGTGGAGCACATGGACAGCACCAACTTCTTGTCCTCTAAGGCCCACTACGCCTCTGATACTGATTCATGCAGAGTTCAGACCGAGCTCGGATCAGTCAACCGAGCGGAGCTAAGTTCCTTACGACCATTTGCACATCACGCTAGCATGGTTCCTCCCCACCTCTTCTTTCGGAAGAAGCTGAAACTGACTGGATTCTGCTCAGCTACCTTTACAGGATCACAACTGAAATCCACTTTATTATGGTTTTAACAATGACAATAAAGATTCTTGATTGTTGAATTACAGGTCAGAGCAAAAAGGTCATTGTGCCCTAAGCTTGTTGGCCATTGACTTTAACTCAATCATCTCTCCTTTTGTATTTGCAGTTATTATAAAGCATGTTGTTGACCTGTCATCCTTATAAGAGAGGTCACCATTACAATCAGAATGTAGCTGATTACAGGGATTAAATAAAAAAAAAAAACCATTTCCTGTACATTTGTAGAAAAGTATCAGCCACACCAGCAGATCTTAGAAACTGAAAACAAAAACTTGAGCCATCTAAAGAGGATAAGATCATCTCTGTCCTCAATGAGAACAATAGCGCCAAACAACAGAAGAGAAGGAGGGACTGAAAGGAGTAGCAACAGAAAGGAAGAGAATAACACAGAGGAGGAAAATTTTTTAACTTATTCATAGAGGCTCTCAGTCGGTTCCAAACACATTGGACGGCATGACACTCATTAGTTTCTGCCCCACTTCCTCTCGGGTGCCTTTATCCTCATCACATCTATTTAGGATCCTGAATCTTGACAATGAAAAGTTCCCTCCATCACACGCAGAGGAATAAAGAGAGAGAGGCTTTTATTTCAAACCAAATGGGGTTGACAGTAGGGGGGTTGTTGAGTGTAATGGCTCTGGGTCTCTTTCTCCTCTTCTGTTCCTTTTGATTCAGCACCACTGCAATCCATTAAACTGAAACTAGCTAGTACAAGAAAAATCACCTGAAAGATTGTAACTGAGGGACGCAAATAGTGAAGACATTCACCTTGTATAAAACAGTGGTTCTTTCTGAGTCGCAACCCCCAATTTAACATGCACTGCTATCCACAACCCCCCCGCCCAATCAATATACTATGTTGCATTTACATAATCAGACAAGCCTTAACTCACTTCAGCTATTAGTCTCTTTATCTTTTATTTTGAAACACACTGGTTTACACTAACATATATATATATATATATATATATATATATATATATATATATATATATATACATACATACATATATACATGACTGGGATTGCTTTCTTTTAAAGAAAAGGAACGACTGAGACATCCCTACTAACGGCTTTAAGAACAGAAATTATTTTATTCAATTACAGTTGTATGACTTTTAAACAAATAACTGGTCATTTGAAATACTTCACGTTATGTGGCTACAGCATTTGTCACTGGCTGACGTACAGGACCAAGCTGATTCCTGCTGAACAGAATGATGTACACCAAAGTACACCAACGCAGCTGAAGGATGAGCTCAGCGGTAGACTAAGCTCCAACTCAGGAAGTTTTAGCTACAAATTGAGTGCTCACGATAAGATGACCATATGTCATCCTTTTGTATGACCTGTACCCAGCAAAACGCAAATGTTAGCCTCTGTTTTATGAAATAAATGTTGGGTGTGCACCGTGTAGAAGCATGATGCCTTCAAGCAACAGCTAGTCAAGAAAATTAAGGTTATAGTAAGAGTAGAAGAGCTTCTCTGAGGCCTTTTAAAAAAACAGCAGGGCACCACTGACAGGAGCCGACCTGTGATATTATGCTGGTGTTATATTTATCATTTTGTTTTAACTGAACTGGTCATTGCTACTATTAAAGGTTTGGTTTGTGCTACAAAGTGTTACTAGTGTTCCTAGCAAGCAGGAATTGGGGAAGCTGTGGAATGAATAAGAGGGATGGGAAGAAATCTTAACAGAATGACTAAAGAAAACGTATTTTTAGCTCACATTTTCAGAGTTAGTAATAAGTTGTTTTGTTTATAGTGATTTGAGAACATAGATTTTCAGTCTTAGGTAAGTTTGTCTTCTTGGACATGGCAGTTTATCATGAAAAATATAAAGCATGTAATGAGAGAAGAACCATGAAAGAGGAAGGAGAGAGAACCTCCTGGTAAAATGTACATTTCATCTGTTTAGCTTCAAATTAAAATAGTTAAACATTTTTTATTAACAATCTAAATTGTTAAACTGTAGGAGCTTCATATACTTGGCTTAAACATTTTCACATGTTTGTAGGCATCTGTTGTGGGCATTCTTTGAAGCATTTTCTGAGGCTTTGATATCATCTATATTGATATCAAAATTATATCAACCAAAAATTTTAAATACATACATCTTTCTGGCCCTAAAGGTAACTGGACTAACCGTAGCCGTAATGCACTACTGGGATCACCGAATGCATTTAAGATCAAACTATGGCTCAGTTGCACATAAAGAGTAGAACGATTTTTAACAGGCAACAACAGTAATGGTAAAAAAAAAAAAAAAAAAGAATTACAAGACAAAACAACTACAAAAACCTCTGAAGGAACCGCTTATATATATATATATATATATATATATATATATATATATATATATATATATATATATATATATATATATATATATATATAATCAAAGAGAAATACTAGAATGAGCAGAACCATAAAAAACATTTATTGACAAGCAAGTGGCGAGTTTGTATTATAAACATGATACAGTGACTAATGTTTACACTACTGACAGTAATGTTTTACTTGGACCAGTCTGGCAAAACTGTCTGTGCTTGATGAGACAAAGTACAAATCCTATCCTGCAGTAACCTTAAGACTACAGTTACATTTAATGCTCAACAGCATATAGATGAATTCAGTTTTTATATAAACTGATTTAATTTATAGTTTATAAAGAAATGTTGGGAGAAACTGGTCAAACTGCTGAAGAAATCCAACATTGGTAATTAGCTTTCCAAGATTAAAAGATATTACATAATTCAACGTTTGATCACATCTAAATCCTAATGGTATGAAAGCAGCTCATAAAAAGCATAATGCATATTTACTGTGTGGGAACCTTATACGGGCGTGACAGGAGTCTTCAGTGGTTTTTACGACAGATTTCTTCTTGCTAGGTTAACTTCCAAGAACCTCTTTTTTTCCCCCCATGTGGTAAACAAAACCCTTTCAAAACCCTTCCATTACGCAAGTTCCTCAAAAAATGTCATATCATTCCACAGATAGGTTGAGACAATAACTCCCTCTCAGATGTTTACTGTGGTCAGTGTGAAATATTTCTCTTTCGTTGCTTATTTCTTTAAACCATTAAACATCAAGCAATGACAGAAGCACAGCTCAGTTTATCTACAGAGCTGCTGATGAGACTCAGCGAGGCGCAGACAGATGCTTAGCTAAGTGGGTCACATGAACAGAGTAATCATTAGAGGGAAGCTGAATGCACATACACTATATTGCCAAAAGTATTTGCTCACCTGCCTTGACTCACATATGAGCTTAAGTGACATCCCGTTCCTAATCCATAGGGTTCAATATGACGTCGGTCCACCCTTTGCAGCTAGAACAGCTTCAACTCTTCTGGGAAGGCTGTCCACAAGGTTTAGGAGTGTGTTTATGGGAATTTTTGACCATTCTTCCAGAAGCGCATTTGTGAGGTCGCACACTGATGTTGGACGAGAAGGCCTGGCTCTCAGTCTCCGCTCTAATTCATCCCAAAGGTGTTCTATCGGGTTGAGGTCAGGACTCTGTGCAGGCCAGTCAAGTTCATCCACACCAGACTCTGTCATCCATGTCTTTATGGACCTTGCTTTGTGCACTGGTGCACAGTCATGTTGGAAGAGGAAGGGGCCAGCTCCAAACTGTTCCCACAAAGTTGGGAGCATGGAATTGTCCAAAATGGCTTGGTATGCTGAAGCATTCAGAGTTCCTTTCACTGAAACTAAGGGGCCAAGCCCAGCTCCTGAAAAACAACCTCACACCATAATCCCCCCTCCACCAAACTTTACACTTGGCACAATGCAGTCAGACAAGTACCGTTCTCCTGGCAACCGCCAAACCCAGACCCGTCCATCAGATTGCCAGATGGAGAAGCGCGATTCGTCACTCCAGAGAACGCGTCTCCACTGCTCTAGAGTCCAGTGGCGGCGTGCTTTACACCACCGCATCCGACGCTTTGCATTGCACTTGGTGATGTATGGCTTGGATGCAGCTGCTCGACCATGGAAACCCATTCCATGAAGCTCTCTGCGCACTGTTCTTGAGCTAATCTGAAGGCCACATGAAGTTTGGAGGTCTGTAGTGATTGACTCTGCAGAAAGTTGGCGACCTCTTCGCACTATGCGCGTCA